ATAATGTGTACGAAAGAAATATAGTGGGAAGGGAACAGATCAGGTAAAAGAAGGACATTACAAAGAACAAAGAACACATGTGCTTAAGTGTTTTGCAAGGATTGATCAGACATCTTGAGTTTAATTTCTCAGAGTTGGAGGGGAAGGCAAAGATAAAAACTTTAGATGACACAAAGACAGAGAAATAGCCAACAGAGAGAAAGCAAAAAGAAGTAATGAAAAAGAATCAAAGAGAAATAAGTTTAATAAACTGAATAAACTGTCAATTAAAAAATTCTGAATGAAAAGTTTTTTTAAAAAAATTAAATTGAACTTTTCAAGCCCAAATCACAAATTCATACTTTCCCCAATAGCAGTTTAATTAATTCTATAACCTGAAATAAAATTGCCTGCAGTTCATCTTCCTTCTATCTCCTCTCCCGAAGGCAGTGACTCATCCTTGGACTAGGTTTAATAAAGAACACCAACCCCCTATTACCACATTGCAGTGTCCATTCTTCACCTTCATGCCCAAAGTTTGTATCGGTAGCATATTCAATCATGGAAGCTATTGCCTTATCCTGTCCCCACACAATATCTTTACAGCTGCCCTTCTGGCAACACTAGCTGGCAATCAGAAGCACCAACATTAACAGATTGGTTGTCAGTGCTCTGTTGGTGACCTCTCCCTCTTGTGCAGAAAAATGTAGGGAAAAATAGGCATAAAGGTAAAATCCCAATTAAGATCTGGGAGCTTTGCAACAGAAAGCAATGTATCCACGTGGAGTGGAGACGAGCAGAACAGCAAATAAACAAAATAATGGAAAATCCCTTTCTTCAATCATTCTCTTTCTTCCAGGTCTGGTGGAAATGGAAGGGTCATCATTCATCCTTGAAGCAGCTATTCTTTGAGGATTTTAAAACTCAAATGCACTCAGGCCATTGCTCAGTTGAAGTGATAACCAACCTCGCAATAGGCGCAGAAAGTGGCATCTGTCATTCTGACACAGGAATAAGATCAAAATGAATAAGAAATTAGTTTCTTAGGACATTACTCCTCTTTCCATGAATCCAAATCACCTAATACTTGGCAAAACACATGGATTTGTGTTTCAATTCTAAGTCATTTGCCAAAGAATGATTGTAAACTGAGCGTCTATTTACCTCAACGACTGTGAAACATGAGTTCTGCGCACATGTAGGATTGTCAGTATGTGACAAATGTGTAGCAATCCGTGAATAGTGTGGTAATTTGTGATGGGACTAATGCATTGCCTACATTGCATTACTTGTGGCAAAAGCTGGATAGTGAATCAAAAGCATCTTGTGGTAATGATCAGAATGAGTTAGTTCAGCAACTAACTAAAGTGAGGTTTGCGCTATTACAGCTGCGGCCAGCCTAATTTGTCATAATGAAGTTAAGCTACATAATGTCAATGATAATCAATAGCGATTAAATTATAGTTCAGCTTAACTAACATTGTTCTGGCATGCACTGTTGAACGAGAGCATTCATATTAGTAATAGCATATTTTGCACTCTTTATGCTGCATTGGCATGTAATTATGCTCAGAGGTAGAGGGCTGGAGGAAGGCCAGCATCACAAAAGCGGTTAAGCCTGGATGGTTGACGTTTATCAGAGAATCCATCTTGAAGGCTGAGGATGTAAATATTGAAGTGAAAATGGAGCATCAAGGTACAGAGCATATTCCTGGTTCATTACAAACAGTGTGCAATTCAAATGTATAATTGCACAATAAAGAATTTCACAATAGAAGATACTTGTGTTTCATATTGTGCCTTTCATGTTGGGAGAACATCTTAAAGTGCTTCAAGGGATTTACTGCAAAGTACAGTGACTGTGTATTTTGTAAGCAAAAACAGCAACCATTTTGCACACTGCCACAAAGTGAATTGCCAGCTTTAATGCGCGGGGATGGTGAACACTCTTTGTTCACATTCATTTGTGTTCCAAAAATGTGCAATTACAACAGCAATTGTTGACTTCATGAAATATTAGTCATCCAAATGCTGAAACCCCACTTCCATCTCCAGCTCCATGTTGGGTGAGCAATATTGCCTCTCAATTGCTGCAAGATCTGCAAGATCTGCAAACCACAGTGCAGAGGTAAGTATGGTTTTAAGCCCCACATCAGAACTCATGTAGTCTCGGCTGATACTCGAATACAATACTGGGGGGGTATTGCATGGTTAGAGGTGCTGTCCTTAATAATATCCTTGTATTTGACACAGCACCTTGTTATGCCTTCCAAGACATCTCAAGGTACCTCACAGGATTTACTGCAAAGTATATTTTATAGGCAAACACAGCAGCCAATTTGTGTACTGCATTGACCCACAAACAGCCATGAAGTGAATGACCAATGCTTCTGATGAGGTGTTAACTAAGGTCCCAACAACTATGCCCATAATCTCTGAAACTCGTTCATCTTTCTTCCACTCGGGTCTCTAAATCCTCCCTGAAACATATGGTCAACCATAACTACCGTCAACTTACCGCCCCCTACCCACCCATGGCTCGACTTCCAACCTAGTCTTTCTGAAGTACGCCAACACATTTTCCTATGCAAATTTTGTACACCTCAAAAATTAACGTATTAACTTACAAAATAAGGGATACGTGCATGTAATTTCTTATTCCTTAAGTCTACAAAACAAGTGACAAACAACTATTGATTTAAAAAATGTTCTAATTTTAAGATCCCATTCTTTTTTAAAAAACAGCAGTTAAATGTTTTCAAACGGATTTCTAGTTTGTCCTTTCCTCCCCACAACCCCACCCTCCCCGTTCAAGGCACACGCCAGAACATCTCATTGACCACAAGTTCGGTCATCTTTCCCCTCCTCACCCCCTTGCCTCCCACCTTCAGCATGGCCAGAATTTGTCAGGGATATCCTCGCTGTGTGAAAGGCACTTATACAAGTTGAAATTGTATTGCAATTTGTATTTTGTTGTTCAGTCTTGCTAGTGAGAAATACTGTTATTTTACAAATCAGGAAGCAGCCATTTGTTCCATTGTAACTGCTACAGCCCCGATGAGGCTGGGATCCACGCCCTGTGTGTGTGTGCGAGCGGCACAATGGACCAGCAGTCTATTGCCTTGACCATTGCCTCTGTCTTGCTGGTGAGGGGCGGTGAGGGATGAGGGGTGGGGGGGAGGGGGGTTGAGGGGGAGGTGGGGAGGGGGGTTGAGAGGGGAGGGGGGTTGAGGGGGGAGGGGGGGGTTGAGGGGAGGGCATGGGGGAGGGGGTGAGGGGGTTGAGGGTGGAGGGGGGTTGAGGAGGGTTGAGGGGGGAGGGAGGGGGAGGGGTGGAGGGGGGGTTGAGGAGGTTGAGGGGGAGGGGGTTTGAGGAGGGTTGAGGGGGAGGAGGGTTGAGCGGGGAGGGAGGGGGAGGGGGAGGGGGGGTGGAGGAGGGGAGGGGGGTTGAGGAGGGTTGAGGGGGAGGTGGGGAGGGGGGGTTGAGGAGGGTTGAGGGGGAGGTGGGGAGGGGGGATTGAGGAGGGTTGAGGGGAGGTGGGGAGGGGGGGTTGAGGAGGGTTGAGGGGGAGGTGGGGAGGGGGGGTTGAGGGGGAGGTGGGGAGGGGGGGTTGAGGAGGGTTGAGGGGGAGGTGGGGAGGGGGGTTGAGGAGGGTTGAGGGGAGGTGGGGAGGGGGGGTTGAGGAGGGAGGGAGGGGGAGGGGGAGGGGGAGGGAGGGGTGGAGGTGGGGAGGGGGTTGAGGAGGGTTGAGGGGGGAGGAGGGTTGAGGAGGGGGGAGGGAGGGGGAGGGGGGGTGGAGGTGGGGAGGGGGGTTGAGGAGGGTTGAGGGGGGAGGGAGGGTTGAGGAGGGTTGAGGGGGGGAGGGGGGTTGAGGAGGGTTGAGGGGGAGGGAGGGGTGGAGGTGGGGAGGGGGGTTGAGGGGTGGAGGGTTGAGGAGGGGGAGGTGGGGAGGAGGGTTGAGGGGTGGAGGTGTGGAGGAGGGTTGAGGGTTGAGGGGTGGAGGGTTGAGGAGGGGGGAGGGAGGGGGAGGGGGGGTGGAGGTGGGTTGAGGAGGGTTGAGGGGTGGAGGTGGGGAGGAGGGTTGAGGAGGGTTGAGGGGTGGAGGTGGGGAGGAGGGTTGAGGGGGGGAGGAGGGTTGAGGAGGGGGGTGGAGGTGGGGAGGAGGGTTGAGGAGGGTTGAGGTGGGGAGGGAGGGGGAGAGGGGTGGAGGTGGGGAGGAGGGTTGAGGAGGGTTGAGGTGGGGAGGAGGGTTGAGGGGTGGAGGTGGGGAGGGGGGTTTGAGGAGGGTTGAGGGGTGGAGGTGGGGAGGAGGGTTGAGGAGGGTTGAGGGGTGGAGGGTTGAGGAGGGGGAGGGAGGGGGTGGAGGTGGGGAGGAGGGTTGAGGGGGAGGAGGGTTGAGGAGGGTTGAGGAGTGTTGAGGGCTGAGGAGTGTTGAGGGCTGAGGAGGGTTGAGGGGGAGGGAGGGGGAGGGGGGGTGGAGGTGGGCAGGGGGGTTGAGGAGGGTTGAGGGGTGGAGGTGGGGAGGGAGGGGGAGGGGGGTGGAGGTGGGTTGAGGAGGGGGTTGAGGAGGGTGGAAGGGGGTGGAGGTGGGTTGAGGAGGGGGAGGGAGGGGGAGGGGGGTGGAGGTGGGGAGGGAGGGGGGGGGGGTGGAGGTGGGGAGGGAGGGGGAGGGGGGGTGGAGGTGGGGAGGGAGGGGGAGGGGGGGTGGAGGTGGGTTGAGGGGTTGAGGAGGGTTGAGGGGGAGTGGGGGAGGGGTTGAGCTGAGTCCCAGTGACACACGGCTCCACAGCACGTGGTCACTGTAACGGCACTGAGACCCACTCGCCACACACTCACAAGGCGTCCTCGCAGATGCCTAATGTTCTCTCTTTTCTTAAAAAAAATTCCCCCGAAAAGACACCTGGTTGAGCCAACTCATTTCTGCATATTATTAAAACCAAGAAACAAAAAAAGAAATGGACGGTGCCGAGAGTTCACAGAGAGGGTGTGTATGTGTGAGTGAGAGCAGGCGGAGTGTGGCGGCTGCTTGTCGGGGTCCTGCTGTGGCTGGTGATGGCGGCGGTTGGTGCTCGAGCTGCGATCCTGAGTCTGAGATCAGGTCAGTGCCTCACACACTGTACACTGTACACACTATACTATACACTGTACATACTATACACACTATACACTGTATACTATATACACACTATACTATACACTGTATACTATATACACACTATACTATACACTGTATACTATATACACACTATACTATACACTGTACATACTATACACACTGTACTATACACTGTATACTATATACACACTATACTATACACTGTATATTATATACACACTATACTATACACTGTATACCATATACACACTATACTATACACTGTATACTATATACACACTATACTATACACTGTATATTATATACACACTATACTATACACTGTATACCATATACACACTATACTATACACTGTATACTATATACACACTATACTATACACTGTATATTATATACACACTATACTATACACTGTATACCATATACACACTATACTATACACTGTATATTATATACACACTATACTATACACTGTATACCATATACACACTATACTATACACTGTATATTATATACACACTATACTATACACTGTATACTATACACACACTATACTATACACTGTACATACTATACACACTATACACTGTATACTATATACACACTATACTATACACACTACTATACACCGTATACTATATACACACTATACTATACACTGTACATACTATACACACTGTACTATACACTGTATACTATATACACACTATACTATACACTGTACATACTATACACACTATACACTGTATACTATATACACACTATACTATACACTGTATACTATATATACACTATACTATACACTGTACATACTATACACACTATACACTGTATACTATATACACACTATACTATACACACTGTACTATGCACTGTATACCATACACACACTATACTATACACTGTATACAGTATATACACACTATACTATACACTGTATACCATATACACACTATACTATACACTGTATACCATATACACACTATACTATACACTGTATACTATACACTGTATACAGTATATACACACTACTATACACGGTATACCATATACACACTATACTATACACTGTATACTATACACACACTATACTGTACACTGTACATACTAACGCATTATACTATACACTGTATACTATATACACAATATACTATACACTGTATACAGTATATACACACTATACTATACACTGTACACACTATACGCACTATACTATACACTGTATACTATATACACACTACTATACACTGTATACTATATGCACACTATACTATACACTGTATACTATATACACACTATACTATACACTGTATACTATATACACACTATACTATACACTGTATACAGTATATACACACTATACTATACACTGTATACAGTATATACACACTATACTATACACCGTATACAGTATATACACACTATACTATACACTGTATACAGTATATACACACTATACTATACACTGTATACTATATACACTATACTATACACACTGCTATACACACTATATACACACTACTATACACACTATATACACACTATACTATACACACTATATACTACACACACTGTACACACTATATACACACTATACTATACACACTGCATAGACTACATACACACTGTATACTATACACACTATATAGTACACACACTATACTATACACATTGTATAATACACACACTGTGTATACTATATAAACACTAGACTATACACACTGTATATACTACATACACACTGTATACTATACACACTATGGAGTCCTGTAGCTCAGTGGTTAGAGCACTCGCTTTGCAAGTGAGAGACTTGAGTTCAATTCCAGGCAGAGGGCGAAACCTTCGGCAAGTTTCCTTACTCCACACAGAGCCTAATAATAATCCCTCCAAAACCAAAAACAATAATAAATTGGTCATTTTTAATCAATGACTGTTTGTGGGACACTGCTGTGCGCAATTGGCTGCCGCGTTCGCCCACAAATATACAGTCAATTCACTTTACAGTATATTCTGTGAAGCGCTTTGGGACGTCTAGAAGATGTGAAAAGCGCTATATCAAATGCAAGGATTATTATTATTATTATGATTACTATATAGTACACACACCATACTATCCACACTGTATACTACACACACTGTTTATACTATATACACAGTATATAGACACTACTATATACACACTGTATATACACTGTATACTATACTATATACACACTGTATACTGTACTATATACACTACTATACACAATGCATATACTCTGTATCATACTATAGACACTGTGTATATGCTATATTATACACACTATATACACTGTATACTATACGATACACACTATACTATGCCATATACACACTATGCTATACACTGTATATACACTGTATACTATACTCTATATACATTATACCATACATACTATATCCACTGTACTATACACACTGTATATACACTGTGTATTATACTATATACACTATATACACTGTATACTACACTATACACATTGTATATACACTATATACTATACTATATACACACTATATACTATACTATGTACACAGTGTATACTATACTGGATACACACTGGATACTATATACACTGGATACTATACTGTATACACCGGTTACTATATACACTATACTATACTGTATACACACTGGATACTATACTGTAAACACTGGATACTATACTATATACACACTGGATACAATACTGTATACACACTGTATATACACACTGGATACCATACTGTGTACACACTGTATATACATACTGGATACTATAGTGAATAAACACTGGATACTATACTATACACACTGGATACTATATTTGTGGGCGAAACGTGGCAGCCAATTGCGCACAGCAGTGTCCCACAAACAGCTGTGGATTGAAAATGACCAATTTATTATTGTTTTGTATTTTGGAGGGATTATTATTAGGCTCTGTGTGGAGTAAGGAAACTTGCCCAAGGTTTCGCCCTCTGCCTGGAATTGAACCCAGGTGTCTCGCTTGCAAGGCGAGTGCTCTAACCACTGAGCTACAGGACTCCACACTGTACTATATACACACTGTATACCACACTGTATACTATACTGTATACACACTCAGTATACTATACAATATACACAGTATATACACACAGTATACTATACAATATACACTGTATATACACATAGTATACTATACTGTATATACTGTATATACATGAATACCATACAATATATTCTGTATATACAAACTACACTATACTGTATATACACACTGTATACTATACTGTATGCACACACAGGATAATCTATAATATACACTATATATGTACACACGCACAGGATAATATATATTTTGCGCTGTATACGCACAGGATGACATATGTATCTGCTCAGCTGCCTCTGCCACTGCATCTGTTTCCCCCTCCCCATCTCCTCCTCCCCCGACCCCTATCCATCCCTTCCTCCACACCTTTGAACCTGTCTCCCCCTCCTCTCTCATCACCACCATAACCCGTATGAAACCTACTCCCTCGACCCCATCCCTCTCCTTACCTCCCAGCTCCACCTCCTTACCCCTCTACTCCCTGACATCGTAAACTTTTCTGTTCTCCAGTACTGTTCCCACCCCATTAAACGCCGCTGTCATCACTCCTATCTTGAAAGAACCCTCCCTGGACTCTTCTCTACTCCCTAACTACCCCCCATCTCCAACCTCCCCTTCCTCTCCAAGGTCCTGGAACCAGTTGTTGCTTCTCCGCTTCGCTCCTTCTATCCCGCCACTCCCTTCTCGAACCCCTCCAATCGGGTTTCCGTGCCGCCCACAGCAAGAAACAGCCCTGGTCAAAGTGACAAAGTGACATCTGACCAGGGCTCCCTCTGCCTCCTCGTCCTCCTTGACCTCTCTGCTGCCTTTGACACTGTCGACCACTCTGTCCTCATCCACCACCTCTCCTCTCACCTCAACTTTCACGGTTCTGTCCTTGATTGGTTCAAATCGTACCTCTCACACCACCTGCGCTTCATCTCCTCAAATGGCTTCTCTTCTAGCCCCTGCACCGTCTTGTGTGGCGTTCCTCAGGGCTCTGTCCTTAGTCCCCTCCTCTTCACTATCTATATGCTCCCTCTTGGCGACATCATCCGCAGACATGGGGTCAACTTCCACATGTATGCTGATGACACCCAACTCTATTTCTCTGCCCTTGACACCAGGAGCACTGCTGTCCTGACAGAATGTCTGTCAGACATCAAGTCCTGGATGAGAGCTAACTTTCTTCAGTTGAATGTCAACAAGACCGAGGCTCTCCTGATTGGCTCCCGTCAGCGCCTCCTCACCTCAGGCGCTGATAGCATCACCATCCATGGCTGCACACTCCACCTCACCGAGCCAGTCCAGAACCTTGGGGTCTTGTTTGATCCTCAACTATCCTTTCTACCCCACATCTGTGCCATGACCCGCTCTACCTTCTCCCACCTCCGCAAAGTCGCCCGGCTCCGACATTGTCTCCATCTGCAGGCCACCGAAACCCTCATACACACCTTCATTACATTGAGGCTTGACTTTGCAAACTCACTGCTTGTCGACCTCCCCAACTCCTCCCTCCAAAGGCTGCAGATCATCCAGAACTCTGCAGTCCATGTCCTTTCCTGCACCAGGCTCCGTGACCCTATCACCCCCATCCTCGCCCGACTCCACTGGCTTCCCATCTCACAGAGGATACAGTTCAAGATCCTGGTCCTCACCTTCAAAGCCCTCCATCGTCTTGCTCCCCCCTACCTCTGCGGCTCCAAAACCCCCTACCATCCTACTCGCTCCCTCCGCTCAGCGGGCTCAGACCTACTTCACATTCCCCGCCCCGCTCGCCCCACTATTGGCAGGTAGGCCTTCTGCCACTCTGCCCCCACCTTCTGGAACTCCATCCCGCCGTCCCTCCGCCTCACCCCTTCCGTTGCCACCCATCTCAAGACCCTCCTCTTCAACCATGCTTTTGATCTCCCT